GTAGTCACATAAAACCTTTCCTCTCTCTTCCTCTCTCTTTGATGTGTCATCAGCAGTGAAACTCCTCTCGGCGACCCAAAATGAGGTGTATCACCCCCTCACCGTCATCCTCCACGAGGCTGATTCTACAGCTCTCGCGGTGCAGATCTGAGCGGCACAGGTTAGTTTTAGATAACAGACACACCCGAATGCATCACTGTCATGCGACACTCTTTTATTTCTCCCTGAAATTAAACCATAAGAGAACAGCACGCACAAACGACCACAATGAGTATTCCCCTCATATTGTAACAGGTTTGGTTGAGCTGCTTCTGCTACTGATGATGCTGCTGCTGCCGGACTGGGCATAGATTCATCACCGCTGCGTCACGTGACGCTCACAGATCTAAATTAGGCCAATAATCAGGGACGCCTGGCGGCTGAGTTGTTGAATGCACAGCATGTACATGCAACAGTCCCGAGGCGTGTTCTGCAATGGCATCCTTCTCTCTCGCTCCCTTCTTGCCTTATTTCAGCGTGCAGCAAAAACCAGAGACGCACACAGACACGTTGATCCCTGCAAATATATCCCTAGCACATTGTGGGCCTTGTTAATAACCACACGCACACACCGGCGGTGTCAGATGGCCAGTGATGTCGGCCACGGAGAGGGGAGAGCGGGCACGGCTGTAACACAAGCGACCACACCAATCAGGGAGGAGACGGGAGTTGTTTGGTCATTTAAGGTTGGAAACAGGTCGACGTAGATCCTGGAGGGTTTTTTCTTAGTTATTTACACTATTCCAGATTAATTGATGTGATTTACACCAGAGCGAAGGGTGCAATTTGCAGGCAAAAGCGGGGATGGAGTGGGTTGTAGCACACCTGTAATCCTCAATGTGTGACCCTAATCCCAACCATGTCTGAGACAAATGGCAGCTGATTTTTTTTTAGGGGGTGTAAATGTAAAAATAATATAAATAATAATTTGTTTTAGTTCCCTGATTGCAAAGACTGAGAAGAATAATTTTCAAAAGCCCACTCCCCCCAAAAATCACCTTTTTTGTGAGGGTTAGGGTTTGTATTTTATTCAGTTAGTGCAGATTATAATATTATATTTTTATTATATTAGGCACATTAAGACTTTATTTTTTGCTTCCTCCTTGTCCGTTTAGCGTGAGTGCACACCGTTACACTGAGAGACCGGAGAACACCACCCGACACGAAATCAGGAAGCTACCAGGATGAAGATCTAGCTGTCTTCTAATCGAGAGGTCGGAGCGTCCCCGGGCAAAAATACTGAACCTCAGACTGCTGCTGACAGATCCCTCATCGTGTGTGTGGGGTGTGTGAGCTCTGAGTAGAAATTAATATAAGTACAAACACATTTACACTGACAGAGGTATGCAAATTAATATTTTCAAAGGACAAAATCACATGCAAATTTTTACAAACCTAAAAAAAAAAACCTTGATTGATTGAACAATTGGAAGCCAGAGGAGAAGTAAATATTAGCACATATATGTGTGTGTGTATAGTGTCTCTGTTTTCTTTCAGAGAGATTGCAGATTAAATTTTCACAAGGCAAAAAAAGAGAAAAAGATTCCATGTTTGTAAAAGCTTTTGAGAATAAGGGTGGGGTTTAAAAGTAAGCTGTAAGAGGATCAGTTCTCAAAGGATACCTGCACGGACAGAAGTTAAGCCGCAAGTGCACGAATGTGTCTAACAGGTCAGCTTGTTACAGATGGACTCCCTGCACGCTTCTTCTAGAGCAGGAAGTTCGCAGCATCGGGTGAAAGTAACACCGAATAGCGTCTATCACAGATTCTTCTTTAATTCCAGCAAAGTGCTTTTTCTTATTATTATTTTATTTATTTTGAATTTTTTTGCTTGAAGCACAGCACGCATCTCTGCCTCTGATTCGGCTTCTTATTGCTGATTTTTTTTCTCCTGCCCCATTAGCGGTAAATACGCTGCCTTTTGTAAGTTTGATTTGTGGTCGTTTACGTGAAATCTTCTGAGGACTCAGTCGCTGTGGGCAAAAACGATCTGCAGAAAACCCACTAAAAGTCAGCTGCTTTGACCTCTGACCTCCCCCGTTCGCCGCCTGTGATCTCAAAGTTGCATCCTATGAGTGACGTTTGTTATTATTAACACGGAGGGTTTTTTCTCTCTCTCTTTTTTTTGTAACAGCAGCTGACAGCGAGCGTAACCCGACTGCTCAGCAGTCGCACAAACAGAAGCCGTAATTAGACCGACAGATCCTCCAAATACTGCGAGACGTTCCTGCAGAAGCCTCTGCACTGCTGTCTTTGTGTGTTTACACCGTCGAAAAAAACTAAAAGTGGGCCTCCTCTCTCTCTCCCACACACACACACTGAGGCTGGGAGAGAAAATTAGGATTATAATCTCGGTAATCAGCAGTCACGCCTGAGGCGGGCAGCTGCAGAACTGCAGAGCTCCAATTTAGGCGTCGGACATTAAAAACCATTAAAACCCAAGTGAATTTCCCACTTATTGATTTTTCTGGGGCAACAATTCAACTTCAGGAAGGAGGAACAACAGAAAAAAGAAAGAAAGCCAAAAGAAAAAGCAACAGCGGGTAATGTGCTGCGAAATGTTCTGGTTTTTATTTCCAGAAAAGAAAAAAAAGCCATAAAAAACACACGTTTTGATCATTTTCACTTCAAACCTGCACAGTTATCTCACACTTTTTATTCTGCAGGTAATGCGCACACACACAAAATGATGAATCATGCATGTGTTGTTTCGGGTACCCCCCCCCCCCCTTCCCCTCCCCTCCCTTCATTGAAACCAATATATTCATTAAGCACAAGGTCCCCCTATAGGTCACACACTGACTGTAATCCGTTTTCACGGTGAATATGTGGTGGCCCCACGGACGATGGAGGGATGGGGGTGTGGGAGAGGTGCCACTCAGTGGGGGCAGAGTTGGAGCTGCGGTTCAAGTGTGTGTGTGTGTGTGTGTGTAAGAGAGAGAGTGAAAGAGGAGGAAAAAGGGGGTGGGGTGGGGGGGATTATGGCGTGACTGCTTGGTTTACACCGTGGTAGCAAATTACACGTGACAACAATTCACCCGGAACCAGAACCACTCTGGACCCCGAGCAGCAACAGCAACGGGGGGCGAAGCAGCTTCGCTGGTCCTCGTCATGCTCAGGTTCCTTGTCTTCCTCCTACGACATCATCCTCATCAGGGTTTAAGGAAGGAGACGAGAAGAAACGATGGAAGTGATTAAAAAAATACAGAAAAACAAAAATAATGAGAGAGAGAGAGGACACTTCCTCTCCTTGCAGACAACAACAACAATAATAATAATAACAATAACACAGAGGAGGGGGTTCTATGCAAAAGTTTCTTTTGCAACATCTGATGTTTTTGTTTTGTTTTTTTGGTGTGAGTGTTGGGGGGGGGCATAGGGGTGGAGGTGGTGGAGGTGATGGGGAGGTTGAGGTGAGGTGGGGGTGAATCAACCAGTTCAGCCCCTTGATTGATGATTTAATTAGCCATACAGTGGCGAACTGCAGGGAGGACAGGACGCAAAATAATGCTTTATTTACATAACCAATCAGAGCACTGCAAAGGTGGAGCTTCCTCCCTCTCTCCCTCCCTCTCTCTCTCTCTTTCTCTCTCTCTCTCTGCGAGTGGTGCAGAGATGGTTGACTTCTGTAATAAATGCGGGATTCATCCTGTTAAGTGGCGTCCAGAAACACACACAGACAGAGAGGGAAAAATCACTCGAACCATCCCGGAATATTCCTCTGATATTCCTGCGCGGGCTCGTGCGGCTGTGGCGGTGTGACATCACACTCACTTTATTCCAGTTGGGGTCTTTTTTTTTTTTTAATAAAAACAAACAAACAGAAAAAATGTAATGATTTTCCCCCCTGCCTTCACACACGCGCCGAGGCTGCGCGGCAAGCATCGGGGGAACAAACGGCGAGGACTCCTGCAAACCGGCAAACATGGGACTATTTTTTTCGTGTTTTATTTTCAGTTTTTTAAGTTGGATAATGCGCCGAGTTTGCGCGCAGGTGCATTGATTTAAACACACCTCCAGAAACGAACCGCAAAAAAAAGAATAAAACTTGTTCCAAAAGGATCAAAAAATAAATATGAGGGGGAAAAAAATAAAAGAATTAAGACGAGCAGAAAACAAGAAAATGATCATTTCTAACCTTTTTAACTAAAAAACGAAAACATTTTTTTCAGAACCAAAAAACTAATAAAATTGAGGAAAAGCTGCGTTTTCACCAAATTTACATATTTTTACAGCGTAAATAAAAACCGAACATCCGCCAATCTTTTGCAGCCAATTACAAAATAATAATAATAATAATAATAATAATAATAATTAAATACAGAACACATGTAACTACCCCCCCCCCCCCCCCAGCTCCAGCATCCCTCTCCTGTTTCTGCGACTTAAACCACATTACTCCTAACAACAGGCACACATTTCCACGAGCGAACACGTATAAAAATGAATCATCCTTATGAGTTTTTTTTCCTTTTGCCCCCCCTCCCCCAACCACCACCACCTCACCTCCTCCACCTATCTTCTCTCTGCAACACAAACACTCAGAAGACAGGGGTTAAAAAAAAGAAGTACACTCACTGTCGCCTGGTTCTTACTCCGCGTCGAAGCCCGACATAGTTGGTTTCACGCTCCAAAAAAATAAGAAGAAGAAAAAAGGGAAAAAAGAAGACGAAGAAGAAGAGAGAGAGGGAGGGAGGGTAGAGAGAGAGAGAGAGAGAGGGGGGGGGAAACTTGAGCCCAGAAAGATGCTCACGTTTGGCTCTCCTCAATTATCCCCTCCCGTGAAGATAGGTGGCGTGCGTTTCAGGGGGCTTCTCCTCTCTCTGTGTGTTTGCACGGCAAAGAAAAGGAGGTGGAAAGGGAAAAAAAAAATGTCATTAGAAGAGGCGTAACACGTCAGTCCCTACCCAGGTTTGTTTCCTGGAGTGGGTGTAAGACATCAGTTGTAAACCTGCCCTAGCAGGAATAGCGGTCCCTCCCTCCTCCCAACTATTTCTAAGGCTTTTATTTCTAAGGCTTTATCAACACCGGTGGAACAGGACCCGCTCACCGCCGCCAAGCTCCCGCTATCAGCCCGTCCTCGCAGCTCCTCTTCCCCGCAAAAAGAAGCCTCTGGACCCTCCTTTAAAAAAAAAAAAAGCAAAAAAAAAAAGAACAAAACAACAAAAAGAAAAACCCAAAAGAGAAAAAACAGAGCCGAGCAGGTATGTGCATCCTTACTTTTCTATCATTTCCACTCTTTTTTTCTTTTATATTCCTCCTCTCTCGCTCTCTCTCTTTCTCTCTCTCTCTGTCGCTCTCGCGCTGTCGCTCGCTGTCTCGCGGACAAATTGTGTCGGATATTACAACTTCCACGCGCTCGCGCCAGAGTTTGGGAGCTCCGAAACTTCGACTTACCTGCGCAGGTGGAGAAAGGTGCGCTTGGGTTTAAAAAAATTATTTATTTTATTTTCTTTAAAGGAAAAAAAATCCTCTTTTTACATTTTCCCCACACACACACGCAGACACACGCCTCCCTGCGCTCTGCTCGCCGTCTCCCTCCGCGGTGTCCTGTAGAGGCGTCCTGCGGGGTTGTGACAGTCGGGGAGAAGCTGCTTTTTGTCGGGCGTCTGTCGCCGCACAGCCCCGGAGACCCGGAGAAAAAAAGGCGATTCCGTACGGGTGTCTTTGTTTTTTTTATTCATTTATTTATTTCCTCTCGTTCTGGATCTTATTTGAACCATTTCTCCCACTCGCTCGCTCACTCAGCTCTCCACTCCAATACCCACTTCTCCCAGTAACGGCGATTTGCGCTGATAGATTCGCAGGCGAAACGCGCAATTTGGCTCTAATCGCTTCTTCTACTTTTATGTTTATGCGCCATTTGTGCCTTAAAGCTTTCTTTCCTCTCTCCTCTTTCTTCTTCTTCTTCTTTTGGCACATTTGAACAATTATCTCCCCCCCTATGATACAGTTTATTTTTGGTTGAGTTTGGATTCACTTTATTAAACCTGAAAGAGCAATTTTTGCTCAAGTGTTTATCGGGTGTTGCGTGACTTTTAAATCCCAGGGAAAGCCCTCCGTTTTTAAAAGAACAGAGTGACTGAAATGTGAGTTTGTTCTCCCTAAAAAAGCGCAAAAAACTAGAAAATGATTGTTTTGAAGTTTAATTAAAAGAAGTGGATTTTTTAAAAATATTTTGCTTACATCGGAGAGGAGGAGGTAGAGAGCGGGCTGTGAAACTTTCCTGATTTTAAATAAGAAGAATTCCGCTTCTCGTCCTCAGCCCTGATCTCTGAGCCGATCAGCTGAAAATCTAAATTAGACGGACACGGATCTCCCCCCCACCCTCCACCTCACCGCTCCTCTCCTCTCCTTCCTTTCCCCTATTTCTCCCATTTTTTCTTTTCTCCTCTCTCTCTTTGAAACGATCTGTCCCTCCGATCCAACACGCATTTTCAGCTTCTCGTCCGGGGCGCAAGTGGATGTGGATCACTCTCACACCCCTCCTCCTCCTCCTTCTACTACTTCACCACCACCACCACTACCTCCTCCTTCCCTTCACCCCAACTCACATTGTTGGTGCTGGTGTGTGTGTCTGTGTGTGTTTTCAGATCTCAAGCTGAAATCAAGGAATCGAGTCCATGCGAGCTGCCATCTGATCCCACACACACACTTATCAATGAAGCAGGAGATCATGGCGGATGGCCCCAGGTGTAAGAGGCGAAAACAAGCCAACCCGAGACGGAAAAACGGTAAGAGAAAAGATGACGGGACGCAAAGCTGCTGCTGTTGTTGTTGTGGTGTTAGTGATGGTGGTGGTTGTGTGTGTGTGTAGTGTAGAGGTGGTGGTATCTTTGGATGTAAGCCCGCTTTCAAGGCTTCTCGCTGCGGTTCAGGGGTGTGTGTGTGTGAGAGAGAGAGAGAGAGAGTCCGCGCTCATTCGGGCTTAAAAAATAAATTATTATGACTATTTACTTTATTTAGTTTTTACGCGTGGATGTAAAGAGAGCGTTACCCCGGGAGAGAAAGTGTGCGTAAATGCGTCCTAGGATTCAGTTTCTCTGTCCTTTTTTTAATTTTATTTTATTTTTTTTAGTTATTTATAATTTGAAATAATAGCGGCTTTTAATTGTGGTGAAGCGAGGGGGAGGGTGGAGGGGGTGAAGATTGTCAGGAGGCTTGTGTTGAAAAAAACAAAACAAAAGAAAAGTCCAAAAATGTTAAATAGTGAGAATAAACTTGTGGATGTTGGAAAGTTTGGCGGTTGCCGGCTGCTTTCTCTTTGGGGAAAAAAAGAGAAAAGACAAGAAAAATCGGCCATGGGGGAGGACTGAGTGTCTGCCTGAGTGTAGCGGTCACTGGCTGTGGAGGAAAAAAAGTCCAGTCTTGTGACTTTGAGTTTTTAATCCACGCGCTGGCACTCCGTGACCACCACACACAAAAACACACACACACTTTCCCCCTCTATTTCTATAATAAATCCACGCTAATGGGCCTTTATATTCTTTCTTTTTCATTAGTATTTTTCAAAGTGTTTGAACGCCTCACTGTCGCTGCTTTTCCGGGACATATCTCACAGGAGGTGGCACTTGGCTTCTCTGGTTCACTTTTTTCCTTTTTTGAATTTTTTTTAAACGATTAAAAAAACAACAACAACAACTTTATTTTCCTATCAGTAAGTGAAGGCAGCACGAGAGGCTTGTATAAATAGGGTGACATGTCCGATAAATGCTGGACATTAATTGGGTCTGGACTGGGGAGCGCTGGAGGTGGAGATTTGTTGCTTTTCTTCCTCCATTTGACTGCACCACACTTTTCCCCACAAGAGGCAAATCTGCAGTGACATTTCCTGGCCCCCGTTATTCCTGATTATTCCATACAGGCTCAGAGAGAGAGAGAGAGTGTGTGTGTGTGTGTGTGTGTGTGTGGAAGTGTGTGTGATTCAGCAGGTTTTTATTTGCAGTTTTTAATTTTAAAAGAAAGGAAAGACAGAGAGAGAGAGAAAACTGTGCCCCCACAGGTTATTTATCTAGATCAGATTTCACTTATTGATCTCGCACAATCGATGGCAGACAAGCATTTTGTTCCACGCTTAAAGAGCCTCACAACAGTGCAGGAGATCTCTCACGTTCTGGATCTGCGGCAAGATGGAATAACAAGGACGGAAGAGATGTGATGGTGTGTGTGTGTGTGTGTGTGTGTGTGCATTTTAGCCTTGGCCACCTGTTTTGGTTAAAAAGGAAATAAAAAAAAAAAAAATAATAATAGGAGCACAAATATCATTTTCACACCCTTAAACCTGACGGAGCTCTGGCACGGCTGCAGGGAGATTATTTTTATCCGTTGTAGGGAAAGCATGCAGCGTATTCCCGTCTTCTTCTTCTTTCCTCATTTTAAAAGAAAGTACATTTATTAAAAAAAAAAGTCAACAAGCCCTCTCTGATGACACCCCCCTACTATTCCCTTCTTCCTCCTCACTCCTCAACCCCTCACCCCCCCCACCCAACCCCCCTCCTCTGGGAATTCAGAGGCTTATTGAGGCTTGGCCACTCTCTCCTCTCTGTCCTCTTCCTGCCCGGGCTCGGGTCGCTCGGAGGGGATGGCGGTTTGTTTACGGCCCGGCTGCCACACTTAAAAACAAAACACAGATTTAAAAATGAAGAAGAAGAAGAAGGAGGAATGCTAAATATTCCAGCAGATGGATGTCGAGTTAGGCGCACTAACTGGCAAATCAGATGAATGTACACAAATGCGATATACGTTGAATTAGAGCTGGTGTCTCTGAGGCGGCGGTGCGCTAATTCTAATTTGTGTGCCACCTGTTTTGTTATGTTTTTTTTTTACTATTTTTTAAAAAATAGAAATAACACACACACACACACACACCCCTTCCTCCTCCTCCTCCTCCTCCTCCTCCTCTTCTTCGGTGGAGCGCTTTCTTGGAGCCCCTCTTTGACATTCTCCTCCAGATGACTGTTGGCCTTCAGGGTTGGAGTTGCTGCGCTCGCTCTCACGTCATGTGGTATTTAACAGCGCAGTTCGCCACTTATCCCTCTCCCAAAAAAACCCCGCCTCTCTTGCAGATTTCCGAGGAAAATATTTTTTATGAAAAAGCGCAGAAATGACATTTTTTTATTCTCACACGACTGTTAGAACCACCGCAGAGAGAGGGAGAAGAGAGAGAGAGGGTCTCTTCTTCCTGCTGTGAAACTCGATCTCAGCAGCGTGAAGCGTTTGAGAGTTTGGCCTTCGCCAGGTGTTGCTTGTCACATCCAGCTGTGACAGCACACACACTCACACACACACACACACACACACACGGACACACACAGACACAGACATACACACACCTGTCCTTATTTTCTTATTACTCAACCAGCATCAAAAACAAAAAAGAAACCACGAAAAGCTCGACTCTGTTTTTGCAGTTTGGACTCCCTGCACGAGCAGAGGAGGAAGGAGGAAACACACATGTTGCAGATGTTGCAGGTGCTTTTCCTGTCCTGCTTTCTTTTTTCCTTTTCTTTTTTTCTTTTTCGGTGATTCTTCGCCCTCCAAAATACTCCTATTACATAATCTGAAGCAGTCCGAATCCTGCTCTCTATCTATTGCTGACTCTTTCTCCTCAGTTGTGCGAATGTTGTCACATATTTATGAGTAAAATGGAGGAAGAAACCATCTTTTTATTCTTCTTCTATTCTGCTTGTTTTTTTTTAAGTTGTGTTTGGAGCATCTGCAGTCAAAAATTTAGGGGGGTGAGGGCGACTAAGCAAAAAGAGAAGGAAGAGGTTGGGGTGAGGAGGAGGAGGTTTCACGGGGCGCTCGCGGACAATTGATTGTCAGCGGTAATGTGTTTCATTTACATGTTTATACCGTCAATAGTGGCGAACGAGGGGGGGGGGGCTGGGGGTGTCCACGGCACGCCATTCACTGCTGCCATTCCCATACGGGCTGGCGATTGTTGTGCACCAGCAGACAGAGCAGGAGAAGAAAGAAAGAAAGGACAGAGAGAAAGAGTTCAGCTGTGCGTTATTTTCTTTAAGTGAAATGATGACATCAGGCAGGGACGACTCCTCCGAGCCTCCTGCCTGTCACTGCACTGCTTCGACATCGAGAGGCCCGATATTCCTCCTGCACGGAGCTAAATATATCTGTAAATGAGATTGCTGTGGAGAGAGGAAAAGCAAAAACATAAACAAAAATATATTCAAAGGAAAATAGAAAAGGAGGGACTTTTTATTCCTTATAAAATTCCTGTGATTGGGATTTATTTCGGAGATGCGGTGTGATGTCTGCTCCTCTTAGCGTGTGCTTTCCACCAGGAATTAAATCAGGAATGTTGCTCGGGCTGCAGCACATGCATGTTTTTTTTCTTCGACTTCTTCCTCTTTTTTTCATGCTTTGATAAGGCAGATAAAAGCAAATAGCATGGCTTGTGGCTGTTCCCCCCCCCCCCCCAACACACACACACATATTTAAAAAAAAGGAGGAGAGGGTAAGAAGCTAATGATCATGCTCACCTTCATCCTAAAGCAGGACAGAAACTTTCATCAATTCCTCATCCACCTTCTTTTAATTTTTATATTATTATATCCCCCCCTCCCCCCTCCCCCCTCACACACAAGACACAGACACACACACACAACCACGCAAACCCCAGGGGGAAAAGGATTTTTTTTTACACTTCTTTTCTTAAAAAAACCAAAAAAACTCCTTCCTCCTCTTCTTCCTCCTTCCTCCTCGACCGCCCTGCCTACTTGTGTGAAGATATTTTTTCCGCCTGGCGGCCAGAGAACACACACTCACAGAGGCACGGCGAGCCCGGACCCCCTGACACCGCGGGTCTTTGGAATGCCTTAGGTACGATTTCACTTTCGCTCACATCAATGCTGACCTGAATGCCTTTCATATCTGATCCGCCGCGTCTCTCCTGGTAAACATCCCCCCGGGGGGAGGAGGAGGGAGGGAGGGAGAGGAGAGTAGAGAGGGGTGGGGGGGAACAAAGAAAAGGAGCTCCTCTTCTCCTCCTTCTTCTTCTCCTTCTTCTTCTCCTCCTTCTTCTCCCTCTTAATCACAATTCAGCCCCTTTCGCCGCCAGCAGCAGGGCTCGCACATTTGCATTCAGCATCAGGAAGAAAAAAAAGGGCCTGAGATGAAAAGGGGGGCGAGAGAGAGAGAGAGAGAGGAGAGAAAAAAGGGAGAAGAGGAAAGGGGGGAAAACTAGAGGTGGGTGGGTGGTGGGAGAGAAATAACTAGGGTGTTTGTGGTTGTTTGTTGGTTGTCCCCTGGTTACAAGCCTTTTATAGCCTCCCTTACTCCATTGCAAGGGTCCCCGGGCCCCTCCTGACAGACAGATAGTGTTACGAGATGCCCACACTATTCGTGGCCACTCACACTTAAGAAGAAGGAGGAGAAGAAGAGAGAGGCATAAAAAAAAAGAAAAAGATCCTGGCTGCGACCGATTGGATTGTGCACAAAGAAGGAGATAAGAGTCGGGAGCAGGTGTCTGCACGATGCGCTTTTTTTCCCTCTGCTTCTTCTTCCTCTGTTTGGCACCAACTTCTCGGCAACTTTGCACGTGAATTCAAATAAATAAATAAAATAGTAGCCGCAGTCTTTAATTATTTATCTGTTATCGTCGGATTGCCAGAGCTGTAAAGTGTTGGATGGATGGATGGATGGATGGATGGAAGGAGAGGCGGTGGTATCATGTGATCTGGATTTCAGTTTTCCTTTCATCCCTTCCTCACCC